CATAGAGCAAGGCTATTTTTTTTTCATTAGAAGTATAGCAATGGTAGTAATACTCCACGTAACAGCTTAATGAAAACACTTGTCTTGAGAGTTACAAGAACTGTAACCCCAAATTCTCTAAAATTTCCCTGTTCTCTGTCCAAAAGGAAGGCTTTCTTTCCTTTTTCTTGGTTGTTGAAAAATACTTGAGCTTCCCCCCTCCCATAGGATCATTTGATTCTAAACTTTTGCCAATTAAGGCATCATTCTAAGGATTTTGTCCTTTTGTCAGTCTAGAACCTTCTCTGAAACTCCCATCTACACTAATTCCTCTGGTTTAGAAGGTGGCCAGAGAGGCCTAATTTTGACACTACTGAAAGCCTATGTCACAGGTGAAACTGTTTTCTTATTTTGCATTCCCTAGATGTTCACTGAATCTGAACTTTTAGCTGATTTATTGCAGCCTATAGGAGAAACGTTCATTTTTAAGGTGTGCATCTGGGGGAAAAGGATTGATAGCAGGGGTTATAGTCCAACTAGAATGTATTTTCTCTGTCTGCATGTGACCAGTCTGAGTTACAATACTGTCTCCATATTGTTTAAGATTACACTCCTTCGGTTGAATTACTGCTATTTGTAAAGATATGTAAAGAATGTAAATCTACAGGTTAAGATAAAAAGATTGGATGTTGATTATAAAACCAAGTTCATTTTAAGGTGATTTTCCTGGAGAGTTGAGATACTTGTCTATTTCCAAAATAGCAAATATTTCTTTGCTCTGAAATGACTGAATGAACTTCCCTCAGAAAGTGTTGTTTTTATTGTCAACAAGGGCAGCCTGCTTCAGGCTCCCATACTATCATACTCCTTTTCCCTCCCATTTTCTTCAGTCCATTGTTCAAAAACCTACCTTACCAGCTTAGTCAACCCTGGTTCTTTGGGCTCTCTGGCTTTGGTTTTATCTGTTGCTGAGTTCTAGAAGTTTTGGGTGGTGCCTCATCAGAGATCCCATCGTATAACTGCTACCGACCCTAATGCTGCTGCTCCCATCTAGGAGATTCCCAGTGGCCTTACTCCTAAGTCCCTTGTAAAAATGTATGTGATTTTCAAATTTTGAGACCATTTTAAAAATCCAGAAAAATACAGAAAATTATGTAACAGTCCCTTATTTTCTACTTCCCAGTGTTGAAGCACCATTTCAAAGCACCTGGGAGTTGTGGAATATCTGTGTGAGCATGGCATTTGGTAATGTTTAACAGTGTAATTATGAGTCAATGAGAACGTGTCCACCTGTGTTGGCTAGAGCCAGTGGTATTAAATCTTAGTATTGGTATTAAATCTTACTATCCAACTTGATACTAAATTCTATTACAAAGCTGAGATCTCTCCATGGGCTTTTGGTAGCTGGGATATGGCTTTTGGAAGAGTGTGGAAGCCTCTTTTCTGCCCTTTAAGAATCTGAGAGTCATGTGTTTTTTTTTTTCCTGACCCTGCCCGGAGGTTCAGATGTGATAGATTGAGTTAAGTGACTTAGCTTTTAACAAAGATACCCAGAGAGGATTTTCAACAGAAGATCTCTGAGGATGTCACTTGACAAAATGCTGCTTGGGCCATGTTATCACCCTTCCTTAGGCTACTCTTCTGGAATTTTAAAGCCCTATCCCTTGTGTCATCCAAGTTAGGAGACCACCAGCACCTCGTCTCAAGGTCTCTCTGCTTTGTTCTGCAGGAAAAATTCTGATGAGGCTGACCTAGTCCCTGCCAAGGAAGCCAATGTCAAGTGCCCACAGGTGGTCATATCCTTCTATGAGGAAAGGCTGACGTGGCATTCTTACCCCTCGGAGGATGATGACAAAAAAGATGACAAGAATTAACTCTCCTGAGTACCTGCCCCTGTCACATCTGACTGTGGGTTTCGAGTGGGGAGGGAAGGAGTTCTACTTGTCTTGACACCATAGAGGTGGCTTGAGAAGATGTTCTTTGAAGAGTCAGTATCGTTTCTGTGCCCTACAGCAGCCCAAGTGCTTTAAAGCCTTTCCATGCTGTGTAGTTGGCACACCCATCCCAGTGGAGGGGAAGGAAGAGAAGTGTTGCAAGGCCGCCCATTCTGTACTTTGCTGAGACGGGCAAAGGGCCTTCCATGAAGGACAGAACTTGCAGAATGGGTGTGTGGGAGAGCAAAAGATACTGTAGATCTTCAAAGCGCATCTCCACAACCCACAGCCTTCTTCCCAATAGTGTTAACTCTGCATTTTTACAGCGTAGCATGTGTGTAGTTTTTGGCTATTACTGGTGTATCATTTGGGGGGGGGGGGGTTGGGGGTGGGAAGGAAAAGAGATGGGTTAGGATCATTTTTGTTAAAATTTGGGGCCTGATTGGGGAAATGGTGAAACAATGGAAAGAACAAACTTGTGGTGATTCGGTTCTGTGTCCAGAATATTTTATCTTTTCAAAAAAATGTCATTGGCAACCTAAATGAGGACTGTGAGAGACTGTTTAAAAGCTGTGAATGCCCGAAACTTAAAAGCCAAGGTGTTCCCTGCCTGAGCTTAATGCTGTTCCCAACAAAGGACTAAGCCAGTTAATGTTACCAAAGCTGCCATTTTGGGTATGGAAACTGGTTGAAGAGGAAAAGTCTTATTGGAGTGTATACATAGGCAGATTGTTCTGTCTTAGAGGTGCTAATTCTTGAAATTGTTAAGAAGACCCTTTCTTTTCCAGTTATGAAGTTTTAACATCAGCTTGTCCATCCACGCCACTGGCTGAGGTATTTGGGGAGGGAAAGAGGGTAGAATAGAAAGTGGGAGAATAGAGAAAGAAAAGTCCCTGCTCTTAGGGTGGAAAACTCTTGAAGCCTGTTATTTGAACTTTGAACTCTGAAATCAATCATAGGTGGCAGGGTTCATCACTGACAGCACAAGTTCACTGAATCACTTCAAGAGTGGAAGGATTTCAAAAGCCCTGGTCTCAGGAGAAGATTTAACTTTCATACTGGGGCAGTGGTTCACTTTAAAACACAAAGCAAAATAAAACTTTTTTTTAATCCTAAGAATTAACTAATACCCAAAATGCTGTCTTGAATCATGAGATTCATCAGTTCTTGACATCGTCTAGACCTGCATTCTAGAACTCCATGGTAAAATCTTTTTAGGCATGTGTTAGGTTTCTGTGGAAACTTTGTTTAAATGTAAACTTCATACCACATTGTCAGTTTTTGTCTTAATAAAACTATAGATTTATAATCTTTGATTTCTGTCTTGATTAAGCATTACCAAAAACCCTCCCTGCCTTTCATTACCTTATAGGTTCAGCCCAAAAGGAAACAGCTTCCACAGTTTGATGGTTTAATTTCTTGAACACTGTAGGCTTGAAAATCTAATGTCTGGCCTGAATCTTTGAGTGGTTTCATCATTATTTATTTAGTAAATATTTATTGAACATTTATAATTACTCCAGAGATTGTAAAGCTTGTCACATCATTCTGTCTTCATACTGCTCAAAGTTTATTTAGCACTCTGACCTGCTTGCACTTTCAGACTACGATATGTTTGGAAACATGGGTTTTTGAGTTAGGTTTAGTTCGTGGCTCACATTTTTTTTTTTTTTTTTAAGATTTTATTTATTCCTTTGACAGAGAGAGAGACAGCCAGAGAGGGAACACAAGCAGGGGGAGTGGGAGAGGGAGAAGCAGGCTTCCCACAGAGCAGGAAGACCGACACGGGGCTCGATCCCAGGACCCTGGGACCATGACCTGAGCCGAAGGCAGACGCTTAACTACTGAGCCACCCAGGCGCCTCTTGGCTCATGTAGTTTGTAGACTTGTGTCACCTTAGCTAAATAGTCAACTCTAAAATTTTCAGGAATTGGCCTCATGTTTGATCACTGAATTAAAATGTTACCTGCTTTCTTAACGTCATTTTCTGCCTATAATTCAAGAGCCAAAATGGAACTAAGTTCTTGTTATTAAGAGGGAAAATGAGATTTCCACTGAGATCAAATCAGCTCTACTCACTAGTACAAAGCATTTGTTCCAAATAAACTGATGCATAAATATTTTTTTCAAAAAGCCTCTTTGGGGCATCTGGCTGGCTCAGTCAGTAGAGCATGCAATTCTTGATCTCAAGGTTGTGAGTTAGAGCCCTACGTTGGGTGTGGCGATTACCCAAAAACAAAATCTTTAAAAAAAAAAAAAAAAAAAGCGAGCCTCCTAGGAGTTTGGGGAGATGATGGAGAGATGAGGTAAAGCGGAGCCCGGGAGGCAGTCTTTCTGCATAGAGGTCTGGGTATGTCCTGGTGGTTGGCAGCAGCACAGCTGCTAGTTGAATGAGGTGGGGTGTGGTGGACAGAGATGTTCTGGTTCTCTTCTGCCTCATTAGATGCACTGAAATTAGCCTTCAGCCTTGGTGTGTGTCCAGAATGGAGTGCTGTTAAGCTTTAGTCTTAACCTTTGGAACCTACTTAATTGCCATTTCTGGCATTCCTGAACCCTGGTAAAACCCTCTCATTCTTCCCCCCAGGAAGATGCTGAAATTGATAATGCATGCATGAAAATGGAAGTGAGGATAGATTTTCACAATTTTGTTAATTGAAAGCCAACTGTCACGTCTAGATTAAAGGTTTCGGTATAAAATTTTCTCAAGTGCTTGTTGAAGCCACAGATGCGTGCAGAAATGTTGGAAATAAAAGCTACACAGAGGCACAACAAAGCTTCCATGTTTTAGAAGGTATTCGGAGAGGATTTCTTCAGGCAGCACAAAGGCAAGCTGGATGGCTTCTGTGAGGCTGCGTCATCAGGGACTCCAGCCGGGAGTTGAAGAGGAGACGGGATCACCTTAGTTGCTATTTCAGAAGAAGAGCTTACTAATCTGGGGACCAGTCACCATCTGAGGTGTCCTCCACTGTCTTCAACTGAGTTTCAAGTTAGTACAGTAAATGACCACAGAGGCAATCTGTCAGCCGACAGTGCTCAGGAATAATTATTTCTGCTTTTCAGTGTGATTTGAAAGTTTGGACAGCTATGTTTAATAGTTGAGTTTTTAAGTATTTATTTTCAGATACAATCTTATATTCCAGAACTCATTCCAACTCAGCTCAATTTGATTTTAACATGGCCATTTGGTGTTTGGCCATGTATGCTCAGGACATCTTTATGACCTGTGACAGTGGAATGTGTGTTACAGTCCCTATTTCCATCACAGAGAAAGGGAAAATGAGAGGAAACTGCTACTCCAAAATAATTTGGTGGAACTGGAACTCTGAAATCCAAATTTTCTACAGTGGCTCCTGATCCTAAACTATGTACGGACCCGGGTTCTGTTTGAGATCAAATCAACTTGATCAGTTTCTGTGATACTAGTATTAATCTGGTTTGCAAGTTGGGTCGTTCGTGAGGATAAAAAGATCTTGTTTAAAATTTAGGGCTGATAGGACTCAACTAAGTCCAGGCTCAGTGTTTCCCCTCTAGCATACAACTGAAATACAAATATCACTACCAGGCCAGCATTCCACTTTAGTAAAGGCAGGCATCTCGGCTTCATCTTGCTTTTCAGCGGTAGGAACCAATCTGCGCAGACGCATCCAGGTGTTGTCGTGTGGCTAAGGAAGCTTGGTGATGGTGGAGCTTAAAGATTCCGGAGACAATCCTCAATCTGTGATCTGCATATCACGTTGGTTTGACTGTCCAGCATTGAGGTTTTCTTCAGAAATTACTGCTCTTCTAACTAATGTGTTCACAGTTGCTCAGCTCTCTTCTGTGGATGACTTTTAATTGACCTCGGCCTTGGGAGCTTCCCGCTGAATAAATTGCTGAATATTGAAAGCAAATGAAATCCAAAATAAAACCATCTTGCACTGGGATGAAACATAATTGGTCCTGCTCTATGGGGGGCAGGTAGAGCAAGTATTCTGTTTTCTAAGGCTTCCCCCCCCGCCCAACCTTAAGCCAGTGAGGCAGCAGGACTATGAGGCGAGGTTGAAACGTCATGTTTAACGAGATATACTGATGATTTGGTTCTGTAGTTGTTACTTACATTAAATAGCTTTGTGTTAAAATATTCAATAGCATATCTGGATCTGCATTGTAACCTTGGTGGTTTGTGATAATACCAGAGCCACTGTTTACCCCACAGGGATTTTTAAATCCTAGTTGACTTTGACCAATCCTGCCATTTATTGTTTGCATAGCCTCAGGTCAGACTGGGCTACTTTGGGGCCCAGCTGTAGGGCACTGGCTCATTGTTTAAATTACTGTTTCAGCCCCTAGCTGAGAACTGGAAGGTTTAAGACAACTGAATTAGCCTGATTAAATTTGTGTTTAAAACAAAAGGCAGAGCACCAACTCCTTAGCCTTTTCCCTGCCTCCCCCCAAGTATAAACTAGGTTTTGTTTCCTTGGTTGAGGTAGCATCTGGAATTAAGTAACAAATACTGTGCAGCCTATCCATTCTGCAGTTAGACTGGAAAAGAACCAGCTTTAAGAACACACCTCTTTAGTGGGATCCCAAACTCCTCCAGACAATCCGTGCACTGGATTCTGTGTCTCAACTAATTCAGGCTGACATGAACTTCAAAAAGTCCTGGACAGAACAAGGAGTAGAACTCAAATCATGTGCTAAGTTCCATGTATATACTAAGCCCCACACGTTCCTTCTGCACTACGAAGTTCAAAACTAGAGGCAAGGAGGATGGCTGGCCTCTGTGGGAAAAGTGAAAGGTGAAAGGTTCTTGTTAGGCTGACAGAATGACAAATTGAAGGTCTGTGAGTCCCTTTCATGTCCCAGATCAGTGATAACAAGGCTCAACCATTCATGATAATGAAGCACGTGGGTTTTGCTAGACAATTTCTACACTTGGTTGGGAAGATGACTTGCAGAGAGGCAGCCACCAGTCTGGTGCCTGTGCTTGTATGTGGATAGCGTCAACAGTGAAATGGACTTCTTGCTGGTAGTGCCATAAAACAAGTTAGTTGGAGCTGAAGCTGTAGGTCTAGGTCAGTGCCTCCTGGGTGAGGCAGGAGACGTGAAGATGGTGGGGATGTTATTTTTTTCTATTGTTTTTCCAGCTTTTGCCAAACAAACCTGAAAAGCAGCAAAGTCTGGCCTAGCTGGGGGTTGTAAAAGGGCCGAGGGCTGCCTGAGGAACGCGGGGCTCCACGGAAAGTACTCCCCATTCACTGGCTGACTGTTGCTGTTCAGCTTTCCCTGGTCGGGGCCAGAGTCCGCCATTGGAGGCCAGGTCTTGGTGACACTGAGCATTCTCTAGCTCACTACATTTCCCCTTAGTTCGGGATTTCTGTTTTTATTGGCACTGAAATAATGGGCCCAACCTCACAGGTGAGATCTGTGCAGGGCAGAGGTTGAAATAAGGGGTCTACTTCCAAATGCTAATGTGAATTAGGACGTGGGGAGAAATCGGCTCGAATGGAGCCTAGTGCTGCTGAAGTCAAGAAAGACAAAGCCAGGCTTCCGCCCCCACCCAAGCAGGTCACCTTGAAGTCTGGTGCTCAGTTAAGCCTGAGGCCTGCTCATCTCGCTGCTGAGTCTAGGACCTCTTCTCACTTGTCTGAGGGGTAACAGCTCTTTGACAGGCCTTACTCGAGTCCTCGGATCTTCTTCCTGCCAGAGAAAGCCTTGAAGCTGGAGCACCCACTCCACCTGCCAGCAGCAGAAAGAGGTCAACCCCACAGCCAGTGCTGACCAACTTGGCCCAAAGCCCCAGCTCATCAGCGGGATCCTAGACACAACTGTACGTCTCTCCATAAGGGGGCGTGGGGGAGGGGGTGACAAAAAGGTACTTTCTCAGAGCAGGGGCAGCACGAACGGTAAGATGATTTTTTTTTTTCCTCTTAAAAAACATTTAAATATGTTAGGTTAAAATTGCAAAGCAAGATAAAAGTTACAGCCTAATTGTGTACTTAAAAATACACACATTTCTAGAAGAGATACAAAAACATGACTTTTACCTGTCACAATTTACTCTTCTATATATTTGTATTTTTTATCATCATGAATTAAAGGTTTTCAAACTTAATTTTTAGTCTTATTCGTTTTTCAAGAATCTTGCTTTTATCTGGCTTACAGACATTAGCTAATTCCTGATTAGGGAAGAGCTCATCTGATGACAATTTCCAACTAGATGGGGGTTAAAAAACAAAAGCCAGTGTAAACTGAAACAAACTCAGGTTATGAATTCTAGTCCATCCCTTGGGATACTCCAGTAGCACCATTAAAGCACTATGGGGCTAAGCCAGGTCACACAGTGGTACACGGGACATCCCATTATGGGGATCAACTAACTGCTTCTGGTCCTAAACCTCGTCCAGTAATTTCACAGGCTGCCAGGTGAGCATTCATTCCTTAGCATTTGCTAGGCACCTACCTCAGCATGTGGTGGCAGATCCAGCAAGCACCCAGCACCTGGAAGCATCCAGCTCTTCGTAGGCTTGATATTAAAGCAGGTTTTCGAAGGGAGAACAGATTCTGTTCACCTCAGCTGGGAGGCTTTCTGATGCCTTAAGCCCTGGAGTCTGGCTTCTTGCTCTAGTTCTGCGGCCCTGCTCTTACGCGCAAGTACCGGGCATGTGTCAGTCTCGTGGATTTCTCGGGTTTTTAGTCCCGGTCATTGGTGTGGCTACTCGCCGACGCTCTGCACCCCTTTGGCAGGTGGGGCCACCAGCGAAAGGACAGCATGCTCAAGATTAAAAATGCACTTTCTCACAGGTGGACAGACAAGGAGCTGGGCCAAGGGACAGCACCTCCACCTAGCCCAGTCCTATGAGAAAGGCCAAAAAGGATTCTGAATCCTTCCTCTGAGGATTCAACTAGCGAACCCTGTTAAGGGGTACCAACACCTGCTTGGAAGGTTTAATACCGTACTTAAGACTTTTGTCTTTCTGAATTCCTCATTGTCAACCTCCCCTTTCTCCACCCACCTTCCCAAGTGAGCTCTGGCTTAGCCACACAATGGCCAGTCCTCCCCTCCTGGGGTCTTTTACTCAGTTTAAATTAAAAGTAGGGAAAAACTGCACTTGAGAGTGAATCATCCATTTTATTTTATTTTATTTTGTCATGTGCTCACAGCATCTCTCTTTCTCTCTCCTCTCCCTGGCAGGTCAGAGATAAATTAAAAATAAAATCTACAAGGAAAATAATTTATAAAAGCACTTCCCAGGCTCATGCCTTCTTTCCCTACTGCTCAGTTAGAATGCCCCCCAGTGGGGAGGAGAATCGGTCCTTCTCTCCCCACAACTCACCCCTCCTAGTCTGGGCTGACTGTACTCTGGAGCCAGGCAGGGGTGGGGGCAGCAGTGGCAAACAGTTAAAAATAAAGACACTGTGGTCCTGGAACCATCTGGCCACCTTGGCGCTCCCCTCTCTGCCTCCCCCAGGCAGTCCTCCTGCCTAGGGCCCTTTGCTAAACTGGGGGTGTAGAGAAGCAGCCTGTGGCCGAGAGCCTGGGGGGGGTAGGTGCTCTCAAGCCCTCATTACATGCACTTCTCATTCTCCTAGAAAGAAACCAAAAAAAAAAAAAAAAAAGGAAAAAAAAAAAAAAAAAGGAAGACAGAGACCTCGGGACAGAGAAAAAAAATCCCAAGTGTTCACACAGTTACACGGAGTCTTTATGGCAAAGAGAACATTTAGCAGCTTTGAATATTGGGGTATCTCCTTTTTACTCAACAAGCATTCTAGACCCTATAAGTGAAACAGGGCTCAAGCCCTAAAAAAATCAAAGCGCAAGAAATTCTAAAAGGACTAGTTTGTTTTTGTTGCTGGGTTTTGTGGTTTTGTCCTCCAGTGACATGCCCAGTGGTTGGCAGGGGAGGCCTGAGGGAAGGGTCACTCCCCAGTGTTGTGCTGAATACTGCCTGGCTTCTCCACACGCCCTGCCTCAGAGCAGCCCCCCAGAGGCCGCAGGCTCAGCACTAGGGGTGCACCGGCACCCCAGCTGCAGCAGAGCTCAGGCAGCGGGGAGGGGAGGGGCGGGAAGAGAACAGCATTCGCATGCAGGCTCTGATGGAAACGTGGGGGGGCCTCAGCTGGGGGGGGGGGGGAGACGGGACCGGGCACAGAGGGAGATGGAGGGGCCGGGCAGTGAGGGACATGCTTGGTGTTGGGGCTGCTGCAACACGGCATGGGGGCCTCGTGACCCTTTCCTGTTCCCTCTCCTTTTTTGACCCTAGCCCCCCAAGCCAGTGTTGGGTCCCAGTCCAAATGAGAACATCACAGGACACATCCAAGAGCTCCCCTCTCAGGGCTGCCACAGGGCAGGAGCTGAAAGACCCACAAAGCCCCTCCCAGATCCCACCTTGTGTTCCACCCTCCCCTGGGGTGAAGTGGGGTTTACTCATGCATAGGGCCTAGGCCCACCTCAAACCTGCCGCCTGGTATCCTGGCCAGAGCCAACCTTAACCTGTCCTTTGATTTTCTTCCCGCTTTGATTTTTTTGGGGTTTTTTTAATCCCTCTTCCTTCCTTCCTTGCTTCCAGGAATGAGACTTTCTACGACTTTCCTCTCACAAGATCCGCCCCCCCTTTACCCTCGCCTCGGTCGGCCTCCAGCAATGCCAGCACCACCCCTTCTCTCAGAGGACACAGTAGGGGTGAGGACCCTGTCCACCCGAACGGTCTGGCTGCTTCCGCACCCCCCAACCCCCCCCACGGCGGGAAGCCGAGCCAGACAGCGCCTGCGCCCTCCTCTTCCTGTCCACTGACCCGCAGTTCATCCCATCTGAAAAGATCTACTGGATAAGAAGGCATTCAAGTCCCCACTGTAGGTCCAGGTCCAGGCCCAGCCCTTCTCCAGTTTCCATCCCAGTGAGCGTCAACCCCCCTTTCCTCCCCAGGCTCACTTTCTTCGGTCCTTTGGCTTCCTCTCCTGTCGCCGGGCCTGCTGGTCGGCCAGGGTGCGGGGGATGAGGAGGACACTGCCGTCCCCGGCATACTGGAGTGCGTACTGGCTGGGCGAGTAGGGTCGCCCGTTCTCATCCCGCAGCCGCCCGAACACCTCCTGGTACAGGCTCTGGACCTTCTGCTTCATCTGCCGCAAGGACCGGAGGAACTCCACCTTCTCCCGCAGCAGCCGGGCTTTATCGCGCTGCAGGTCCTCCACGTCCCGCTCCAGGTTCAGGATGGTGTCCAGCTTGCGCTTGCGGCAGTTCTGCGCCGCCATCTTGTTCTTGCCCCGGCGCCGGATGTCGCGGATGAGGCTCAGCTGGGCCTCGCTCAGCTGGTATTTGGACAGCAGCTCATTGAACTCCTCCACTGGCAGGTTGATGATTTTGTCATTGGTGAAGGGGATCTTCATGGCTCGGGCTCGATGCTCATCCCGGCTCATCTGCTTGTCTAGGAAGTCGGCCTGCTTCTCCTTGCTGCCTTTCTTGAGGGCGCCGGGCGCTGGCAGCTCAGCTGAGTCGAGGGCGCTGGGCGCCATGTTGTACGTGTGGTTGTGGCCCACGTGCTCCAAGTAGGGCAGGCAGGAGAGCTGGGCCGGGTCCTGGTAGCTCATGCGGCAGAACTTGGAATACTCAGGCTGGTAACCCACAGCGCCCTCGGCCTCTTCCAGATCCAGGGTCTCAGAGTCAGAGCTGTAGCCAACGGCGCCTTCCTCAGAAAAGGAGGAAGAAGCCGACGAGGACGCAGAGGAGGAGGACGACGAGGACGACGACGACGAGGAGGACGAGGAGGAGGACGAGGAGCTGCCTTCGGAGCTGCTCAGGGAGGAAGGGCTATGGCTGGAGTCCAAGGAGAGGCCTGAGTCAGAGTCGAACTCCTCTTCGAGCTGGGAGGCCTGCACGGGGTTGAAGCCCTCCTCGATGGCCAGGTCCATCAGGCTGATCTCGTCCAGCATGGCTTCGTCCAACAGGCCCCCCAGCGGGTCGGGCAGCTCGGGGCCGGCCGTGTCGTTGGCAGAGCCGTTGAGCTGAGCCGGAAAGAAGAGGCCCGCCAGGTTGGTGGAGCCAAAGGTGGAGTTGAGGCTGGTGGAATTGCTGGGGACCAGCGGGAGCAGCGTGGAGCCGCCGGCCACAGGCAGGCTCTCCACCTCGGGACTGAAGAGTGAGAAGTCCTGGCTGCAGCCCCCCAGGGATGCCTGATGCAGGCTGACATTCTGATTGATGGGGGTGTTGGGGGCAAGGCTGTAGTTGGTGCTCAGGGGGTCTCCAGGAGGGGCACTGTACAGGATCTCACTCGCCGAAGTGTTCACTTCCATGGCCTGGCGGGGGGCGGTGGGGGGGGGGGGGGGGGGAGCGGCGCCCCGGTCCACCCCCCCCCCACCCCCCCCCCCGGGGCCGGGGGGGGGGGGGGGGGCTCCCACCAGGAGGCACCCGACACAGGCACAGCTGCGCGGGTGGAAAGGCAAGAGACTGGAATCCAGAGCCCAGGGTCCACTCCTGGCCCTGCTCGATCCACCAGACCTACTAGGACCTGGCAGAGAAGGTCCTCCCTGTGGAGCCCACCCCAACGCAGGGCTGACCAGCTCCCGGCTGTGTTTGGCCAGACTCCCCCACCTTGGAGGGAGAGGAAAGAAAGGAAAAACACCCAACCCTGCCTACCTCTCCTCAGTGTAAAATCCGCACAGCGAAAGGAACACCCAGCCTTGGAGGGAGAAAACCTAGCTGTACCACTTTGCTGTGCGACCAAGGGCACATCACTCAACCTCTCTGAGCTTCAATTTCCTCACCTTTAAAATAACAAAGGGCTGACTAGATGACCGTAAGGGGCAAGAGAGCTGGCGCCACACGAATGTCCGGTTTTAGAAATGCTAAAGCTGGAAGCATTCGGTCATTTGATTATCTACCTAAAGGGAAGGAAGAAGGCATACCTAGGGGACAGTCCTGTTTTAGAAGGCCTAGCCCTGGGCTTCTAACCCAAACCCCACTCCTGACTGTACCCCGTACCCCAAGGAGACAGCCAGACAATGACCTCTCAGCGTCCCCACTTTACTATGGATCAGGGAACGACTCCGTTCTCTTCCCAGCGGTGAAAAAGCAGCTGAATGCGAACACCCCCCACCCCCACCCCCGGTCCGAGAGCTCTGTGTCCTGCTCTGGTAATCCTACCTGCATTTCCATGATGGACATGAGATCTTGCCACTGCTGCTCCAAATCGAATGGCGACTCCGTCCCCGTCAGGAGAGGAGACAAGAGGTGGTTCTGAAGACCTGGGGGCTCACTCTCACTAGGCACGGCTTCTGTTATGCTGGAAATGTCTGCTGGAAACTAGGGCAAAACACAAGAGGCTTTAACGGGGGGGAAGGCACGACCACCGTCGCATTCCTCCCAGAGACTACCGGCTGAGGTTCTGTCTCTTCCTTCCTCTGAATTCAGCCCCGCAGCCAGGAGCAGGCCACACCGGGCGCCGGCCCCTCGGGCAGCCAGCACAGGGACCCACGGCGTGCCGGCTGCCCTGCTGGCTCGGTGGGCTCTCCCTGGAGTCCTGCTCACCTCAGCATTCTCCCCAAAGGGGCAGGTGGCCTCCAGCAGCCTAAGGCACTCTTCCAGGGACAGGGCCGTCTGGTCCTCCCCACCAGGCACCTGTGGCAACAGCAACCGTAAGTCTGACTGACCTGGGCCTTGGCTGCCTGCGGGCCAAAGCCTCTTCCCCAGCCTTTCGAAGGGGGAAGCTGAAGGAGGGCCGCAAGGGCTACAGGCCCACACTCTCCCTCTGTGCCCGGGCTGACGGCTGCCCCTGCGTCCCAACCTCCAGGGAAGAAAAGAGGAAAAGTGGAAGAGTCCTGATGCAAACAGGAAGCTGCTAGGTGCTTTGCCTCCTCCGTGCTGTTCGTTACCAAGGCCTGGCCCCTCTGCTTCTGTTGCTCATCCACTCCCCCTTCCTCAGCCCAAGTGACTTAGAGACCCCAACCCAAAAGATACATTCGGGTTCATCCCACAGAAGCGGCCTTCTCTAAGGAGAAGTTTCTAGAAGTGGGCAGAGGTGGGGGTACCTGTGCAGGGAAGCTCTCCCCAGTTTCTCCATCCACTAGCAGGTTTCGCGCCAGAGCTTCTGCACCCTCGCCTGACCAGGTGTCGTCCTGCTCCGCTCCATCGCAAAGGTCCTTATCCACATCCTGCTCCTTCTGGCGATGACTATAGTCAAAAATCTCACGCCCAGCCCCCAGGTCAATATCCTGTCGCCAAAGGATGTCAATCAGATCTATGTCCTGAAAGACAGAGCACCGTGACTTTAGCTCTCGGATCCAGCGGCCTTTCCTAGCATCACTCCAATTAGTCCCGGGAGTGGGGAGCAGCTCTCCCAGCCTCTGTCTCCTCCATACCAACAAGGCTTCATTCATCCATTTCCAGATACCAGCCTCCAAAAAAATAAAAAAAAAATAAAAAAAACACAAGAGCTAGCAAAAATTACCAGCATGATCAACCCCATACAAGCCTGTGGGCTCAGGACCAGAGACACAGCCAGGCCAAAAGGCAGGGCCACCTCACCGCTACACAAGAAAGAAGGGGGAAGCAGGAGACACTTCTCATTCTGGGAACAAGAATCCCTTCAAACTTGGGTTTGTAGGATGCTGGCCAGGCCAGGCAAGGGCGAACTGTCATGCAGAATTGCTTCGTGGTGGCCAGGCTTGCATCAGCCTATGGTGCCATTTCATTTGCATAAAGGGGTGGGGTGGGCCAGAGAGGAAAATCCCTGCATTTGCAACCACCTGCTGCAACCAATGGCAACGACAGGCTGCCTCCAGACCTTCCTAGAGCCATTCCCCTTCCCTGGCTGAGGCCAAGAGTAAGGCTGGACACCCAAAGCCCAGGCTCACCTCAAGATCCATCCCTGCCAGAATTCCCACTCTCAGCTGATCCTAGCAGGCTGCCTCTGTCCCAGGAGAGCCTCAGGCAGTCAGATGATCCTCACTGGGCACCCCACCCCTGCCAAGGCCGGCCCCCGGTGTCCCCTCACACCAGCACTCTCACTCCCTTCCTCACCACACCCCAGGACTCACTGGCGCTCCGTCAGTCAACCCACTCAAGGACATGGGCCCCATCACCGCTCAGCCACAGCTGCCACCTCAGGGACCAAAATTCCTCCTTCCCACTCTACCCTGGTGGCTCCTGATCAGTTCCTGCACCAAATGCCACCCCCAGAGCCACCAGCATAGAACCCCAATAAATAAGAGCCATTTGGGCTTCCTACACATGCCATTCCCCTGTGGCTGAAGAAATCCTGAACTCTTGCCTTCCATTCAGAGGTTTTTTAAAAAAGCACTTTCCAGAAAGCAATAACCTTACATGAGACCCACCTCCCCAGCTCTGACCAGGTACCCCTTTCCCACCGTAACCCTCCCAGATCCCAAGACCTCCCAGGTGTACCTCTCCCTTCAGTCTCCCCACATACACCAACCTGAACAGAAGCCCTGGACCCAGGAGCAGAGGGGGGCTGGGCCACCCGGTGCCCAGCCAGCAAAGAGTTAAGGGGCCGGCTCCCTTTGGCATGGCCCCCACCACTGTGAGAGCTGCGGTCCAGGCGGGTCATGGTCTGCGAGAAGAGCCCCAGGGCAGCTGGTGCCGGGAAGCCGGACAGGGGGCTGCAAGGAGCTCTTGGCTTGCAGGGAGCACACCAGGCTGGAAGGGTGGCCCCTTGCTAGCTCCGAGGGGCCCGAGGAGGGTGCCCCGCCCGTGCTGCTGCCTGGGCGGCCCAGCCCAGCCCCCTTCCTCCATCCTCAAGCAGCCCCCTCCCACCTCACAACCCCAGTTCCACTCAGGCACCCGGCAGCCCCCACCCTGAGCTCACCGCAGAGGCTGCAGTGAGATGGGACTCCCACCCCATGCTCCGTGCTCAAGCTGCAGAGGAGAGCCAGCTCCCTCCAGGGCCTAGCCTCCCGCTCCTCCCTCTCTCCCCCTCCCCACGCCCCCCAAACTTGTTACCTAGGCTGCAGCAAGGAGCCAATCCCCTCCCCCTCCCACCCCGCAGGTCACTGCTGAGGCTGCGGAGAGCCAATCCCCTCCCCCAGGTCAGCAGCTGGGCTGCGGAAAGAGCCAATCCCCTCCCACTGTCGTTACCTAGGCTGCGACGAGAGCCAATCTCCTCCCCCAAGTCTCCGCTGGAGATGCGGAAGGAGCCAATCCCCTCCCACCGCCTGTTACCTAGCTGCAGCCGGGAGCCAATCTCTGCACCAGGGCAGCTGGAGAAGCTGCCGCAAGGAACCAGCCCATCCCTGGGCCGCCTCCGTCTCCTCAAGGAGACGCACCCAGGGGCGGGCAGCCCCACCCAGCCCAGTCAGCCAGCCGGGGTGGCGCAGTGAGAGAGCCCCGGGGGGGGGGGGAAGGGGTGCCACTCTCCCTCCTGTCGCATCCTGCTTCCCCAGCCCACTCAGGACTGGGCAGAAACCACTCCCGCAGCTTCTCGGGAAATCTAGTTCTTCCCTGGAAGTGGAAGGAGTTTTCCTGTTCCTCAGCAGGGCTGCAGCCGCTCGTCCTGAAGCCTAAGGATCGCAAGCTGAGGCCAGGCCTGCTGTGAGCCAGGGGCTCTGTTCCCCCGACCCCAGGCCATAGGAGACAAAGGAGTGCTGGCCAGGGCTCACCCCAGGCAGAAAGGAGCCTCGGGCCTGAAGGCCAACCCTGAAGGAGCCGCACACGTGCGCCATGCTCCCCCTTCACTCCAGCTTCGTTCAAGAGCTTCTCCCCCTGGACCCCTGGTCCACATCTCTAACGCCAGGAAAACACCACCCACAGAATCAGGAGCACAGTTCCAACGTCCAACCTCACTGCTGCACCCCTCGAGCCTAAGGTCAGGTCAGGGACAGTATGTTCTCCTTGGTCACAGAATGCTCCTCGCCAGGAGAGAGTTGTACCCAAGCCACCCCCTGCTCTGGGCGGAGTGCCAGCCTCCAGGGGAATCCTATCCCCGGCAAGGGCCTGGGCTAGGGCTGTCCATGGAACCGGCCTGGCAGCGGGGGAGTGCTGCCCCCCGGGGGGAGAATACCAGCTCCAGCAGCGCCTGTCACATGCTCTGGACCTGGGTATTTTTATCCCTGAGTTGCTGAGGAAATGCTGTTCTAGACACGTAATAATTCTCCCTTCCCCCACACCCAGCCTAGGACCCTAATGCTGACCCACCCCCAACCCCCAAAGGAAGCAGAGAAGACCTGGGGTCAGGGACAGCACAACCTTCATGAAGGCCAAGAAATGGAAGAAAGCAGGGTCAAAGTCTCATCCCATTCTGCCCCAACCCATCGAACCATATCCAAACTTCCCACTCCAACCCAGGAGAGCTCCCAACAAGAAGAGGAATGGAGCTTAACCTGCAGAGTTCCGAGGAGCGAGCCCAGTTACACACCCCACCCCTTGGGGAGCTACATCAGGGCAGAAGGACGGAAGAGGAAGCTGGGAGGCATACTTCTTCAGACCACCATGCCAAGACTGAAGCCCATTTGAAAGAAAAGAACAGAGGAAGCAGAAAAAAGGCAAAGTTCCCAGTGGCACTGGAAGAATCTAAGAACTGAAGCACTGTAAGGTAAGGAATGCTCACAGCTCCCGTGCTCAGATAATTCTAGTCTTTCTCAAAGCAGATCCAGTGAGGCAGCTGAGCAGAGAGCAGCCCTGGCACTACAGATGTGTGGGGCCAGATCCATCTGACATCTGGGGGCTGTCCTGTGCTTTTTAGTAAGTTTTGCAGCATCCCTGGCTTCTCCCCACCAATGGCACCTCTTCCAGTTGTGACAACCAAAACTGTCTCTAGACATGGCCATCTATCCCCTGGACGGGCAAAATCGTCCCCAGTTGAACACCACTGGCCCAGAAAAAGCCACAAGCTCTGACAGGCACTGACATTCAAAGAAATGAGCTCAGAAACAGGCTCAAATGCAGGACAAGAGGCAAAACCTGGTCTGACTGGTGGGCGGAAAAGAGCCAAGATCTGCAGCCCCTCTATAACTTTTTACATACCCTACCCCCGCTCCCCAGGACTCAGCTCTGGAAAACCCAGCCCAGTGCAATCCAGCCTTAGCCTTCCCTTTCCTAATGGCCAGGACAATGCAGCAGGCTTTTCTCAAGCTCCTTAAGGCTGAGTGGCAAGCCCAGGCCAAACACAGAGCTCAAAGTGGTTTTATCATCATGCTAGTGAGGTGGGAGCAGCAGGAACCATTCACATCGTTAAAGGCTTTCTGTTCCGCCCAGAACAGTGTGTCAGCCACGTGTCAGGAGCTACAGATCTCTGACAGCTCAGAGCAAGCTGACTTAAGCAGCGAATGCAGTTTCTCTTCTAGCTCCCAGCCCTCTCCTCCCTACTCCCTACTCCCTGCAGCAGGCCTTTAAGCAAGGAATGGGAGCCTTGGCCCTCTCCTGGCCAAGAATAGCCATCTAAATCTACCCCTTGGCTCAAGCCCAGGAGAGCCGACTTATCAAGGACCTTACAACAACAGGCCCGAACACAAAGGAGAACTTCAGGCTATGCTTGTGTGTTTTGATGTGGGGGGAGGTACAAGGCAAAAGTCCACAAAGTATTTGTGTCTTAGCAACAGATACACACGGCACCAAAGCCCATCACAACACCACTCCCTCCCCCACCCTGGGGCCTCCAGCAGTCATGTTGAAATCCAAGCAGTAAACACGCTGGCATGTTCTAGGAACCTCCCACTGCCCTGACGGTACATTTAGAGGTGGGTCAATGGTTCAACACAAGGAAATGCTCCCAGCCCCCAATCCTGGTCAGACAATTCAGCTCATTCCCGTCAAAGAACAATGCCTGAGACGCCCCCCGCCCCGCAAACCACTCTCGTTCTTTACAGGGGTTAGTACTGACCTCGCCCCTTCAGGACCAAGACCAGCCCCCGCCCCCCAGAAACCCCAAACCCTTCTTACCCACCCCGACGTGTGGTCACTAACCTCTTTGGTTAGGTCTCCACTGACTGGAGGGGCTACAGCTCCCAAATCCTCCAAATCTTCACTGAATCCCTGCTCCGTTTCGCTTTCTCGCACCCCGTTGTCTGGGCCTGTCACATCCTGGAGGCCACTGGAACTCTCGAGGGTGAGGCCTGAGCTGGGCTGGCTGCCAGAGACAGACCCCTCTGGATCCCGGTGGACCAGCCAGGCGTTTACCTCAGTGGTCGGCACCTGGAACCTGTCCAGGGCCCTCACCTGACTGAGGAGCCGCCGGGCAGTGAAGTAATTGTCCAGGTCTATGCTCTTGGGGTGGATACCATAGCCATCCAAGGTATTCCTCAGGTTGTGGAACTGGGTCTGAGTATAGGCAGAACTGGGCCCCAGGATGATCTCCCGGAGCGGGGGAAGCTGTGAGGTCAGGTAAGTATCCACGTCCACCCGCACCCCAATCAAACTCAGCAGAATGGTGAACTGGAGGAGTCCTTCCGTTAAGTATTTCTTCAGAGAAAGCATTGCTGAAGGACCAGAATGTTTATGCTTTTTGGTTTTTAAATCTTCCAAAAGACAAATCAAGGCCACTGCTCTGCTGCTCCAGCCAGCAAGTTACCCTCCTCAGTGCCAAACCCTGTATCCCACCCTGGCAGAACACAGGGGCTGAGCTCCCGGATGGCCTCAGAGGAAAGCACACCCTGTGAAGCCAAGGCCACTCTCCAGACCACATTCACTTTTCCCTTCTCAGCACCTCACCTCAGCATGTACAACTGTTGCTAACCCAGTCCAGGCCCTCAGGGCCCACGTGACTTACTGTCTCCACAGTCCACATACAGTCACTTCCTCACTCACATTAGTTGTCCTCTCTGTAGATTCCACTGCAGGCTGTTCTCAGGAACAGCTGATGGGTTGGTTTTGTTTTTTGTTTTTTTCCTTCTCCCTAAGGTTTATTTTCTTTGGCTGGAGCTACAAGCCTTTTGTCTTGGGTCAGAGTGTCCCGCCTCCTCCACACTTACCAGGGGGGTTTCCAGAGAAACCTGAAATGGGAATCACAAGAGCAACAGGATAAGATTCCAGAATTTTCACACCATGATCAAGGCAGAAGGCAGGAAACACGTTCAAATTCCACTTTCATATTTTATTGAAAAATAAGTCAATTATTTTACTCCCAAAGAAATGAAAACCAAAAATCTGTTATAGGGAGAACAACTACGAAAGGAAAATATTGCTCACAAAGGATCTCCGTTTCTGGATACTAAATTTGTAATACCCTAAAAGGTAGCTTGTTTTGGATAAGCAGATAATGCCCGGGGCATCCAAAATATTTTACATGTTGTCTGATTTACCAACCCTCCCCCACCCCATCCACACACTACCCAGCTTCTATTTTTAGCATGAGAAGCCCATTTCCTAACTTAAAGAAAAGTTGTATCCTCCATCTCTCAAGAGAAAACTGCCTACAATCCCTGTCCCTTCCCGTTTTAAAGGGAAGGGAGAAACTATTAATGGGAGAAGAGTGTAAAAGGACATGAGGGCTACGTTCAGGACACCACCTCACGAAATAATACCTTTTGTTTTCCCAACTTTAAAATATGGTTTCCCTTTCCTCTCTCTCACATTAAAAGGGGGAAGGGGGACTGAGAGGGCTTTGGGGGGGGGGCAGGGAGCAGTGAGGCAGGAGGATTATTCGACCCAGAATTTGTGATAGGCAGGTTTTATTTTCATTAATATGACCTTCTGAGCCTAAGCAGGATAAGGCCAAGTTCTCAACCTAGATAGCAAAGTGGGGAGGGAGTAAACCTGCCTTTCAGTTTCTGGTCTCTACTTTTGAGCTTCCATTAACCTCACAGACCAAGACATAACTCTCCTCTTCACTGTTGTGACCCAGCTACCAACTTCATCCCAACGGGGAAGAGGGACACACGGACGGACGGACGCACACACACACACTCCTTATTTGGTTAAAGTAAACACAACTGCGACTCAGAATTCCTGCTTACACTACCCTCCCGTTCTCACGCCAATTTATTACTAAAACCTCCCAAGAGACAATTAAGTTCCAGAAACCGGACAAGGCCCCTTAAAGACGGAGTAAGGCTACAGGCCTCTGGTCTGAGCCCGGTCCCACCCCGCCCCGGATACCCGAGTCCGGCCGGGACCAAGTCGCCATGCCCGCTGTCGGTGCCTCGGCTTCTAGCCTTCTGGGGCAACAGCGAACAAGTGCGACTCAGGCGGCCTTGACCCACCCTCACAGCCAAACCCCACCCCGCCCTCCGTCCCGATGGCCCCACCCCGCTCCAGGCCTGGGCCTCACACCACGCCTTCTCGTGCCCTCAGCCCTCCCCAGTCCAACCCACCCCGGAGCTAGCTTTCTCAACGGCCTCACGGCCCCTCCCTGCCAAGCCCAGGCCCGGGCCCGACGCGAACCCCGCTCGCCTGCCCGTTCCCGCCTCCAGCCCCCTGCCCCTGGGCTCCACCCCGCCGCCCTTCACCCCACAAGCCTCGTTCCCGCGGCGCTGCGCCCGCCACCCCCGCCCCCACGTCGGGGAAAGGAATATGCCGGATACCCGCTGCAGAGCTCGGCGTCCGCCGCTGCCGCCACAGCAGGCCCTCAGCCCGAGTCCCGGCCTTGCCGCCGCCACCGCCGGCCGGCCTGGAGCTCCCCAGCCTCCGCTTCCCTCCCCGCCCCCTCCTTCCACCTCCCACCTCATTCGGAAGCCCGCCCTCCGCGTCCTTCCTAGGACCACGTTTCTCCAATCAACGAGCCGGGACCGCGGCCGTCGCCGGATGTCATTTTGATTGACAGCCGAAAGAGCCCAATGGCTGAGTGTGCCTCCTCCTCCCTCTCCCGATTTCCCAAGACTGACATGGCCCACAGCCCAGTGGGCGCATAGACCCGCCCCGCGGCGTGGGCTCACCAGTAAGGGGCGAAGGCCCTACAGCCCGGCGTTCTGGCACCTCGGCTGTGCGTCGGCCGCCCAAGCTGTTACAGGCGGGGCGCGGAGTAAAGTGTGCAAGCTAAGCGCTACCAGTGCATTCTCCAGCTCGGGGATAAGGGCTTAGGGCCGGGGGTGAGAAGTGGTTTCGCTGCCGGAGCGCGGAATTCTCCCCCGCCCCGAAGGTTCCCACGGTGACTTGCAAAAGCCCAGTAAGACCTGAGGGGGCCGAGGCGGGACCCAGAGTATTTCCCGCGGTGGCGACGCTCGAGCCGCCATATTGGGTGCTGGCAGCGGAAACCGCTATCGCCGTTTCCGCTCTGTGCAGGCCGTGGCCCGCGCCAGTCAGGGACGGTTGCGTCGCGGGAATGGCCCAGCGGGCCGATTGCCACCACAGTGGTGGGGCGTTGGCGGTGTAAGGGATGTGGCATAATTGGCGAGTTTTCTCGTGATAGGAACAGCCCGTAGAGCTCCCCTTCCCCGTCTAGCCCCACCCTCCAACCCCCGCCCAGACTACCACCGAGTTTAGTCTTGCCTTTCAGGAACTTTCCTCGATTTCAGATGCTGGCCAGTCTCACCTAGCCAACGTCTTTGTGATTTTCGAACATTGCTTTATTATCCCCAGCTTCTCTTGGGGGAGCTTGTTAAATCTTCAGATTCTGAGGCCTAACTCCAGAGATCGTGATTCACTCAACCCTGGGGTGGTGGCCTGATAACCTGCCAGCTTAGTAACGACTCGAGTAGTTTTAACACAGTTGATCCCAAGACCACCTTTAGGCAATCACTAAGTTGAAGTTCATAGTACTTTGTTCCCAGCTGTGGGACAAAGAGGCATCAACTCAAATTCTTGACTCCCAGGAAGATCTTCGTAATCTAGTGGGCGAAATCCCTAGTCCTTGTACAACTAAGGATGAGGCCAACTGCTAACTCTTCAGATAACAACATGCAGTCCTCACGTGTTTGGAGAGTTGGGAGGCTTAATTTGGGGTGGTTCACAGATTATAAAGCACTTTCAAAATTCATACAGAAAAGTACACCAGCGTCTGGTCATTGAATCCTTAACAAACTGCTAAGGTAGTTGTGCATTTCAAAGACTGATTCAGAGAGCACATGTTTTACTTAACTCGTTTTACTATTTGGCTTCTAGTAAATGCTAGAATATAAACTCCATGAGGACTAGAATTCTGTGCATTAACTGTTGAGTCCTCAAAACCTGGAACAGTGCCAGGAGCAAAGTAGACAATAAATACTGAATAGTTGAAGAAGAACTCCAGCAGGCAGGCCTGTGATTAGAAGTTCCTGCTAAAAACAGAAATTAATATGTGGAAGAGATGTGGTTTTGAGGGATATGGCATGTTACCAAGGAAATGGGAGACCATTCGGACCCGGAATTAATAAGACCATGAAGGGAAATACTCCTGTTGGATAAGAAAAGAGGAGAAATTGAGGTGTGCTTTGTTAACTCTAAAACTATACCAACGGGGTTGAGAAGGGAATAATTAAAAACCCTAGAACTGAAAGATACCAAAGCTAGACTAAAGTTGCGGGGCTTAAATACGAGACTTTGGAGAAAATAGGAGAGTGTCATTTGTTTGACTCAGCAGATACAGAACAATTTTAAACCCTGACACAGTTTAAAAAAAACAAAACAAAAACTGGGCGAGCCTCTAATCTATGGGAAACCTTAGCACCAACAAAACTGTTGTTTTAGACAGGTCCACTTGTATTTTCCAAGTTCCTTTTGAGCTGCATAGCAGGGTACCAGGTGCCTGGGATAAGAAAGAAAGTCCTGGGGCGCCTGGGTGGCTCAGTCGGTTAAGTGTCTGCCTTCGGCTCAGATCATGATCCCAGGGTCCTGGGATGGAGCCCTGCATTGGGCTCCCCGCTCAGCAGGGAGTCTGCTTCTCCCTCTCCCTCTGCACCTCCTCCCTGCTCATGCGCTCTCTCTCTCTCATAAATAAATAAAAATCTTAAAAACAAGCAAAAAAAAAAAAAAAAGTCTTACAGTGGACACCAAACTGACTAATGTGAAGTCAAATGAAAATATTCACTGAAATGAAATGGCAGCCGTAGGTTGAAGGCCACACTGGGGAGCTAACATGTGACATCGCCACATCACTTGGAAAGCTTAAACTCATTTGGTGGCTTTTAATGACTCAAAATTTGTTGAGATAGATAGCAGCCCTACCCATCCTCTCCTCCCCTTTCTGGGTCCTGGGTGTAGAGTGAGGTGCAGGCACTGAGGAGGGGAGGATCTCCGTGTTAATCCCTAGAGAAGGGGTGGGAGAGGTGTGGAAAAGTCTTCTGTTTGTGCCTACACTGTCCCCTTCATTTTCTTTTGCCTGCCACAGTACTTCTAGTACTGTGCTTCACTGTGTCTGATTATTTGAGCTTTCAGTGGGAGAGAGGTGGATCAGGAACTGTATAACTGGGTTAAAGGATGCCTGGATAGTTCAATAGTTTCCTGCTTAACGGTTAAAGAATTGTTCGCCTGTTGCAAGGGCTGAGGAGAATCTAGATGTAGAGAGCCTCAATCAGCAGTAGGCATTTAGGCCTGGCAGCCTGTGGGCATCCAGGATAGTTGATACTCCATGGTAGGGAGCGGGGATCCAAACACTGTCTTCCACTCTGTCGAGAGTTCCAGATCAAGTCTGAGCAGGTGCAAACCTCCTTCCCACTGATTAACCACCCTGTAAAATCCAGGGTGTGTCCTTCACCTAGGAAGCCACCCTCCTCCCTTCTCCCCCCCCCCCCATCCTCTCCCTCTCCTTTGCCTGGGACAGCTGTTAGTAGGAAAATTACCCAAGAAGCAAAAGAAAGATGCCATGCTGATGTGTCATCAGTCCTGGTATATCCATTAAATCAGACTGAGAAGACCACTGGAAAAAGTGAACACATGCGCTCCCTTCCCTAAGGGAGAGGCTGAGAGCCGTCAGTAAAACCAGGCCTTGCCCTCGAGACTCGAGACCGCTTGGGAAAGGAGAAGGTAGTGGGAAGCCAGGAAGAGAGTTTGTTCTAATGCACAGGGATTTAGGGTCATCGAAGAGCCGGCTAACTATACGCTGAATACCCTACTCATCTGGGTTATATCCGTGTTGGCCCAGCTTCCTCCATGGAAAAAGCTGTTGCCACCAGCAGGCACATCCAGTCATCCTGGGAGGAGGACATCTGCCAGGAAACCCTCAGAGAAGAGGTTGGATTTCTTCTGGAATAGCAGGGATTGCTCTTTCCCCTAAGGGGAAATCTAGTCTTTCTGCTATCCTTGTTGCCTATTGTTTTTCCTCTTTTTAAAAAAAAAAAAAATGTTTTTAAATATTGCTAATCTATATAAATATTTCTCACTCTCCAACTTTCATCTAATCCAGGGGAGTATATTAGATGACTGTGAGATTTCCTTATAGCCCTTCTGAGAGATTCTAGGATTACATCCTGTCAATACTAAATGTTAACATGTCTTGCAAGGAAATCAATTAGTTATCCAGCTAATCCAGACATCTGGCCTCCTTTCTTACATGGTAAACATCATTAGCAAGCTTGTTACCATTAAACCCTCAAAAGAGGTAAAGCTCTTCCACAAACCAGCCACTTCCCTGTGCATCCCTACACCTCAGCTGTCTTAGAAGATTGCTTCTCAACCCTGGCTGCACATTAGAATCACCTGGGGGGCTTGTACAAATTATCCATGCCCAGGTCCCATCCCCAACCAATTAAGTCGGAGTCTCCCGGAGCAGCCCTGGGCATCAGGATTTTGTAAAACACTCCTCAGGTGATTCTTATGTGCAAAGTAGAGAATCGCCAGCTTGGAGCAAGAACCCAAATTGGGTAAAAAAGAACAGCAGTGGGTGCCTGGGTGGCTCAGTCGTTAAGCGTCTGCCTTCGGCTCAGGTCATGGTCCCGGGGTCCTGGAATCGAGTCCCTCGTCGGGCTCCCTGCTCAGCGGAAGCCTGCTTCTCCCTTCCCCACTACCCCTGCTTGTGTTCCCTCTCTCGCTGTGTCTCTGTCAAATAAATAAGTAGAATCTTAAAAAAATAAATAAATAAATTCTCTTTCCCTTAAAAAAAGAAAAAACAGCAGTGGGGGCACCTGGGTGGCTCAGTCATTAAGCATCTGCCTTCGGCTCAGGTCATGATCTCAGGGTCCTGGGATCGAGCCCCGCATCGGGCTCCCTGCTCTGCAAGAAGCCTGCTTCTTCCTCTCCCACTCCCCCTGCTTATGTTCTCTCTCTTGCTGTGTCTCCCTCTGTCAAATAAATAAATAAATAATCTTAAAAAAAAAAAAACAGCAGTGGTAATGCATAAGCATAGACTAGAATCACCACCTGATTTTAGGATTATAGTCTTTCTCAGTCCTGGCATGCCCTCTTCCTTGAACTATCCAATGAAAACACCTCATTGTTAATTCATGTTTTGGTAACAATTTATGAAATTCAGCCATTCTGCACGCCTCATCCCATTGCCCCAACAATGTTGGGTAATTTTCAGGGAGGTGCTATTCTGAGGTGGGAAGAGTGGGTGTTTTGGACTCAGAGCTGGGTTCAAAAATCTGGCTTTCCCTCTTACTTGTTGGGCCCTCCTGAGCTAAATGAAGATAACAACATACAAATTCACAAGGTTTAAAAATCAGATCCAATGGGGCACATGGCTGGCTCATTTGCTTGATCTCAGGGTCACCAGTTCAAGCCCATGTTGGACCTGGAGCCTACTTAAAAAAAAAAAAAATCAGACCTGTGTATAAA